GGATTTGAACCGCCAGCCTTCTGGTTAGCAGTCAAGTGCCTTAGGCATTATGCTACCAGAGCTCCTATTCTCAACATTAGTTCACGCAAAACCTTCCATTGGTATGCTTGTGTACTTGTTTATTTATTTGTTTCTATTTTCTAATTTTTTTTTATTGTGGGGAAAGTATATACACCAAAACATTTGCTGGCACTTTTATTTTCTGAACTGGAGCTCTGGCAGTGTAGTACCTAAAGCATTTGACTGTTAATCAGGTGGCTGGCTGTTCAAAGCCACCAGCTACTCCTCAAAAGGAAGATTGAACAATCTACTGCCATAGTGATACCGCTTCAGAAACCCAAGGAGGGGTCACTATGAGTCAGATTGACTCGATTGCAGTGAGTTTTTTTTTAAATCCTGTTCTGAAATATTTCATCACCATTAGCATAAACTCAGTGACCCCCGAATGAAAACTTTCCCTTTTCTCCTCCCTCCTGTACTTGGTGACCATTAATAATCTTTGGTTTCTACATATTTGCTATATTTGAATGAGATCAGACAGCATTCAATGTTTTCCAATCAACTTATCTCAACATAGTGTTTTCAAGGTTCATCCATGTTGTGGCATCAGAATTTCATTTCTCTTTAGGACCCCATCTCACACCCCATTGTAGGTAGATGCCACATTTTGATTATTCATCCACCTTTGATGGACATTTTGGTTGCTTCCCCTTGTTCATTTTAAGTGAAACAAACATTACAGCCTTCAGTTACTTTCATCTAGCTTTGTGCCCTTCCCATCCCTTTGTCCTGTCCCTGTCTCCACCTCTGGAATAACCATTAACCTGAATTCTGCTTCATTGCCCCCTTCATTTAATCTCCTCTATAAAACCCAAGGAGGGTTTGCTTTGAGTTGGGATTGACACAATGGCAGTGAGTTTGGTTTTTTGGTTTTATAAGTATTCTGGTAAAAAAAAAGTCTATTTTGAAATTTCAGTTATTCATAACTATATCAAGAAGATATTATCCCATATGCAATCTTCTGGGGCCTCCCTTTTCCCTTCATATTATCTTGTTCGCATTCCCCTATTCACTGCTCTTTTTTGACAGCTATATAATCATCCAGTTTGGAAGTATTGCCAAGTTGTTCACCTCTGTGCTATTCATGGGCACTTGGATGTTTGCTTTGTGAACAGTGCTATTATGCATGCCCTTACATACACCTCCTGGCACATATGTGCAAGAGTCTCACTTGGGTAGAATTAGGTCCTCTGGGAGATGAGCATGAGGCTGTCCAACCTAGGAGACTGTGCCACACCATTTTCTTTTTTCATTATTTTTATTTTTTTAGAGCAGGTGATTTCTTATTTTTATTTATTTATTTTATTATCCTTTAGGTGCAAGTTTACAGAGCAGAGTTTGTTTTGCATTCAATATTTTGTGTACATTTGCTTTCACTTCCCAGTTACCATCCCCAACCCTAATCCACTCTCCTCCCCTCCCTGCCCAGTAACCACCCACCCCATGCCCCTCATGGTTATCCACTCCTGTGTGTCCTTCATTTCCTCCATGTGAATGTTGCCCCTCTGGTGCCCTGGGGTCGATTGATCCAAGGGATGCATCTCCATAGAGTATGTAGGTGCGTCGCCCTGGGTTGAGTGGTCTGCATGTCTTATTTACTATTGAGCTAAGAGCCAGCCCTTGGGAGTGAGTTTTATTCCAGGCCCGAAGTGTATCCTAGGGCCATAGTTTTGAGGGTCCCACCAGAGTCCATCTGACCAGTAATTCTGGTCTTTCTTGGCCACACCATTTTCCAGAGTTGGTATTCTTATATAAACTCCCAACTTTCCTTGCTCTCTGGCACATGGTACTGCCCATTGGAATGGCACAAAGAATTGCCTCTTGAGAATATTAGAGGAGATGGCAGAGTAAGACTTCAACAATGTCACCACCACAGTCAAGACATTCAGTAGTTCCACTACCATGGAGAACCCGTGGGGAGGTCCACTACCATGGAGAACCCGTGGGGCCTTTCGTAACCACACCCACTTTCCTTCCAGCCATGCCCACGCCTAACCCTTAGAAGCTACTCGTCTGTCCTCCATTTCTAAAAAGCTGTTATCTAAAAAAGGCCAGGCTAACTGGTCTGATGAAGACTGGTGGAACCCCTAAGACTATGGCCTTCAGATACTCTTCAAGCCTGGAACTGAACTCAATTTTAAGCCAAGTAATAGATAGACCTATAAGGTGAACAATAACACCAGGGAGGTGTACACTCCTTAGAACAAGCAACCAAAAAAGATCGAAAGGGCAGCATTGGCCCAGGGATAAATCTCAGAAGGTTGGAAGGGATAGGAAAGAAGGATGAATGGAAATGGTAAACACAGGGAGGAAATGGTAAGAGTGCTGTCACACTGTGGGAATTGTAATCAATGATGTGAAACAAAATGCACATAAATTGTTGAATTTGTATGTATGTACATTTATCAAGCGTGATGTCCGTCTCCAGGGACTGGTCCCTCCTATGGATATTAGTAAAGGGATTCCCAAATAGCATTAAGATCCCAGCTAAGGGTAAGGAAAATGTCACTACAAATTTTTTACTCAGGGACAGCTAAAAATAATAGCTACAGTTAATCATGAGTAGTTCTTTGGGTATAGATAGGCTTTGGGGCACTATTTGCTCCAAAGCACTGATTTGCTCGTAAGCTTTCACCCAAATCACAATAAAAAGTTAACATAAACATTGTTATTCAAAAAAATGTAAACTTTTGAAGTTGGCTTTGCTTCACTCAGCATAATTCTATGACCTTCATCCACAGTGTGGCGTGTATCAGTAGTTTGTGCCTTTTCATTTCTAACTACTGTTCCGTGGTATGTATGGACCAGTGAGTTTAACCACATGCTCGTTGAAGGACACCTGGTTTATGTCCAGTTTGCATTATTTTGAAGAAAGCTGGTATGATCCTTTGTGCACAGGTTTTATGAGAACGTATTTTCCTTTCTCTGGGATACCTGTCAATTGCTGGATTACATGGTAGTTGCACGTTTTGTTTTAGAAGACTGCAGAACTGTTTTCCAGAGTGGCTGCATCATTTTATATTCTCACCAGCAATGCATGAGCGATAGAGTCACCACATCCTTGCCAGCATTTGGTGTTGTCACAATTATTTACTTATTTATTTTTAAATTTGATACACTTATACACAGTGCCTGGCACAGAGTAAGTATCTAGAAGAATTAGCTATTACCCCTTGGACAGTAACTTCTAAGTCATTGTGAAGTTGTACCTGCTTCTGTTTGTTTAATAGAAAACGTCTTGATGTTACAACAACAACTAATTGGCATGCTCCCATCATCTGGGAAGGAACATTCAATAGACAAGTCCTGGACAACTATTACCAAAAGCAGAACATCACTGTGGGCTTGGCTGTGTTTGCTTCAGGCAGGTAGGTGCTGCTGATCTTAGGGAAGGTGTAGGTGTGCCCCAAAGCCTATCTACACACAAAGAACTACTCATGATTAACTGTAGCTATTATTTTTAGCTGTCCCTAAGTAAAAAATTTGTAGTGACATTTTCCTTACCCTTAGCTGGGATCTTAATGCTATTTGGGAATCCCTTTACTAATATCCATAGGAGGGACCAGTCCCTGGAGACGGACGTCATGCTTGATAAAGTGGAAGATCAGAGAAAAAGAGGAAGACTCTCAACAACATGGACTGACATGGTGGCTATAACAACGGTTTCAAACATAGCAATAATTGTGAGATGGCAAAGGACTGAGCAGTGTTTTGTTCTGTTGTACATAGAGTTGCTATGAGGTGGACCTGACCCAGAGTGACCTAACAACAACAACAATATCCTTTTGGGTATCATTCCCTTTCTTCACCACAGTTGTTCCAAAACTTAATGACTCTTCTCAGACCCCCAGGTTCACTGCATCTCTTGCACTAACCATGTAACCAAGACTCCTCTACTAGCCTACGCTTACCTAGTAGGCATTCTTGACATTGATGTGTCAGCACATTTGTTGTTGTTGTTTTCCCTCGATTCTGACTCAGGGTGACCCCATGTGTGCAGAGCACAACCTCTCCACAGGGTTTTCAAGACTGTGATCTTTACAGAAGCAGATGACCAGTTCTTCTCTTCTCCCATACTGCTGAGTGGGTTTGAACCACCACCTTTAGGCTAGCAATTGAACACAAACTGATTGTGCCACCAGGGACCTGACAGCATGTGTAGTGGGCACATTCTGTCCTGATAATGTTTAGCAAAATGAGTTTCTTTCTTTTTTCTTTCCTTTGTGTGTTTCACAGGTTTGCAGATGAATACCTGGAACTGTTTATGCTATCTGCTGACAAACACTTCATGGTTGGCTACAAGGTTATCTTTTACATCATGATGGATGCCTTGTTTCTTCTCCCTGACATAAAGCTAGGTCCTCTTCGAACGGTGAAAGTGATTAAAATAAACAGCCAAGACTGGCGGCAGGACCCTAACCTCCTGCGCATGAGGAACTTGGGGGAACTCATCCTGTGGCACATCCAGAAGGAGGTTGACTTCCTATTCAGCATGGACGTCAACCAGATCTTCCACAACGACTTTGGGGTGGAGACCCTGGGCAAGTCTGTGGCTCAGCTGCACGCATGGTGGTACTTTCAAAACACTAGGAATTTCCCCTATGAGAGAAGGCCTCAGTCCGCGGCCTGCATCCCGTTCGGACAAGGAGACTTCTATTACCACAGTGCAATTGTGGGTGGCACACCCCAGGAAATTTTAAACCTCATTGACATTTGTCTGAAGGGTGTTATTGATGACAATGATAATAGACTTAACACCACCTTTGAAAACCACCTGAACAAATATTTTTTCCTTTATAAGCCCACCAAGCTGCTGTCTCCAGAATACAACTGGGACCTCAGATTTCGTCTCCCTCTACAGATTAGATTCGTTAAGGTGGCATGGCTATCAGAAAATGACTGATGCTGACGCCATTAAGTTTAGGGGTGAATAAGGGAATCACAACAATTCCTCATAGTATAGGACATCTCAAAACTTCCAAATTTTTTAGAGACTTACAAAAACTTATACCCTTCAAAAAGAATATTTTATTTTCTCCCTGCAATTCTAAATCATCCAAATCTGTCAGTGCAAGACAAAGAATAAAAGCTGATTTTTTAATAGTTATTTAGTGGTAATCCACAATAATGTTATAATCTATCTGTTGTAGGTAATGGGGGAATACTTTTGGAGGCATAAAGTAGTTTTTTTTATTTTTAAATTTAAATTTAGACTTTTGTTTAGGAAAGAACAGAATATATAAAACAGTAAATGTGAAATAAATGTGTATTTATACAAATCCATATTGCTTATCTCACCCATCGTGTTTTCCACGGTTGGGTATGTATTCCTTGTATTTAACCCCTTCAACTGATCTTCAAGCCATACAGTATATGACTGGACACAGGGGAACTAGGGACATTCTACTATGTATGTACCTTACTTTTATTGTTGCAAAGAGAGGCAGTTTTTTAAAAAATGTCATTAAAAAAAAGCTATAGGCATTTTGTCTTTTTAACACAAGATATTTACTGTGTTACATGGATCCTCTAGATGCCATCTAGATAGAAAATTGCTAAAAACATAACTGTGTCTTCCAACAACTTATGTTCTTTCATAATTTCAGAAGTGTGAAAAGTTACCAGGAAGTTGTGCTGGAGTGCCATGGGGTTTAGGGAAGGGGCATCATGCAGTCATGTAGGCAGAGTGCTGGGTGCGACTCCCCATGACTGAGTGAGGTATTATGGAGTAATGATGAGAATTGGATGGGGCAGTAGTGGTTTAGCAGAATTCTTGCCTTCCATAAAGGAAACCTCGGTTTGCTTTCCCAGCCGATGTGCCTCACGCACAGCCACCATCCAAGCTTGTGTGTTGCTGTGATGGTTAACAGGTTTCAGCAGAGCTTCCAGGCTAAGGCAGACTAGGAAGAAAGACCTGGCAATCTAAGTCAATGAAAACCCTAAGGATCACAAAGGTCCAATCTGTAATTGACCTTGAGGATGGCATAGGAACTGGCAGCGTTCTGTTCTGTTATACATGGAGTTGGGGCCGACTCGATGACAGCTAACAACAACCAAAGAGAACTGGATGTTCTGAAGTCACAACAAGGTGCTGTTCTTTATCTTCTTTTATGAATTAAAAACAGGCTTAATATGTACAGGCAATCCTTGGGTTATGAGCGTCTAACTTATGTACAACTCATAGTTATGAACCAACTCCCATAAAGCCTATCATATTAAAAATTCAAGATGTATACAGTGGTTATAACAAATGGGCACTACATTGTGATATGCATCAAAACATTACTATTAATGTATAATTAAGTTAAAGAAGCTGTGGTGTATCTACATGCGATCCTCAGACTATACAACTATGAGACCAGAAGAACTAGATGGTGCTCGGTTACCACTGTCAACCACTTGGAGGGGGATCTATGTAGGAGATCTTGGATAGAGGGGGAGAACAATGTACAACAAAACTCAAAATAATTTAAAAAAAAAAAAGAAAAGAAAAGAAAAAGGGACCAGTTTTGCTGATCTGACAGAGTCTGATGAAACGACTGAGACTGTGACCCCTAGCTGCCCATCAGATCTGGAATTGAACTCACTCCTGTGGCTTCCAGCCAAACAAGAGACAGGCATGTGAGGTAAATATTTACACGAGGTAGATACACTCCTTAGAGAGAACAATCATGGGAGAATATAAGGGCTGTGTATGCACAGGGAGACAGCTCAGGGAGCAGGAGTGCATGGAGGAAAGGACACGAGGAAGAGGTAACTATTGGGAGGAAGTGGGAGGTGAGCTGTTGCATTGTGGTGAATTGTAGTCAATGCCATGAGACAAAATCTATGTGAGCTGCTCTATGGAAAGTGAATTTGTTCTGTAAACTTTCATTCAGATCACAAAAGAAAAACATGCTGTGGTGTATCTAGAAGGGTTTCTTCTTTTTATGCATAGAAAGGTACACTTTATACTAAGACAAACATTTGACTAACTGGTGTTAGAGATGAACCGTACCTAACTCTTCTGACTTATGTATAAATTAGATTTAAAGACAGACTTGGAAATGGAACTTGTTTGTAATCTAAGGACTGACTGTATTCCAAAAATAATAGCAACTAAAATACTGAAATTATAAGGAACACTGATGATGAATAAATGGAATAGAAGTTAAACCAAAAGACCAAATCAGTTTCCATTGAGTTGATTCTGACTCATGGTTGCCCCATGCATGCAGAGTAGAACTGTCCTCCATAGAGTTTGCAATGGCTGTAATTTTATGGAACTAGATCATCAGTTATTTCTTCTGTGGCACTCCTGGGTAGATTTAAACTGCTAACCTTTAGTTAGTAGCCTAGTGCTTAATGGTTTGCATCACCCAGGGACCCTGGATTTGCACCCCAACCTCATAATAATGAGATGGCACCTCTTTCCTTAACCAGCACAGTGTCAGAAAAGGCCCACTAAAAGGAGATTTAAATAAGATACGGTCTCAACACATGATACCTGAAATGTCCAAGATATAATAAAAAATCATTGTCACAATAAGAGCCAGGAGAATCTCAACTTGAATGAGAAAAGAAAACCAGTGGACACCAACAATGAGATGCCTTAGATGTTGGATTTATCTTATAAAGATTTTAAGGCAGAACTCACAAAAATATTTCAGTAAGCAATTACAAAAGGAGTCCTGGTGGCACAATGGTTAAGTGCTTGGCTGCTAATTAAAAGGTTAGTAGTTTGAACTCACCCAGTGGCTCTGTGGGAAAAAGACCTGACAATCTGCTCCTGTAAAGATTACAGCCTAGGAAGCCCTATGGGGCAGTTTTACTCTGTCACACGGGGCCCTGTGAGTTGGAATTGATTGAATGGCACCTAACAATCACAAACCATTATGAACACATTTGAAACAAATGAAAAAATAGAAAGTTTCATCAAGGGAATAGAACATTTCAGTAAGGTGATATAAGATTTAAATATGAATAAAATGGAAATTTTAGAAGTATTTTGAATTCTAATGATAGATTTTTT